AACTAGCCTGCCAAGGGGTCAGCCTGCTGCAAAGAGCTGGGACCCTAGCCTGGGCCCTCTGGCACTTACAGGGGCCCACCTCTCCTGCCTGGCTCTCCAAAACTATAACTGGAACCAAGATTCGACTGCCTGTCGCCATACAAACCAAACTTGTGAGACAGATGCTGGTGAAAGAGGAAAGAGGTTTATTCAAGTGCCAGAATCTCAAGAAGATGGGGGACTCTTGTTCAAAGTCCATCTTAGCATCTCAGTGCAGGCATGGGTTTTTATAGGGAGGGGGAGGGAAAGCAGAGCAAAGAGAGGAGGAGGAGGGGCTGTGGACCTGCAGGCAGTGTCCTTCCTGGTCCTGATAAGGATCGTTAATGTCAACATGCTGGAACTGGTCAGAGCTAGCCAAATTCCTGCAGTTGGGCATTCTGTGCCAGCCAAAGTTGTGGTCAGTGCTGTTTCTTGTACAAGTAGGAACTGGAACTGCTGATGCCTGCAATATGCTTATAGGGAAATTTTCAGTATGTCAGTTCTTTTGATCAGTTTAGTACATTTTATTCTAATTCCATTTCACAGAGTAGTATAAAGTTTTTATTCCTTGTTACAATTAGGGATATTATAGTTATTTGTATTTCAAATATAAACTTAATACAAACTTAATTCAGATATAATGCAAAAGCTGATCTGAATTAAATTTCCTTCCAGTGTAAAAATGTACACTTGAGAATTTAATGAACACATCAGAATACCCCTGTAGTTAGACTGAAAAGAGTCTTTGTGCCCAGGCTGGGGCTAGGGGGCTTCCAACTTCCCATCAGAGTCAAATGCTCTAGGGTTCTTTCTCTTAAGGACCAAAAGTGTGGGGTTGGGGAAGGGATGGGTGGAAAGCTCAATGCTTGTAAGGATCAAAGGCTAAAATGTGCACCTGAGACCTGTATAATTTTGTTAACCAGTGTCACCCCAATAAATTCAATAAAAATGGAGAAAAATAAAAATAAAAAAATAAAAATGAAGTAAATAAAATACAATAAAGCCAGACTCCTTTAAAGACAGTGCATCACTTTTCAGCGACTGTGTTTCTAAACAAAGGTCACAGTTGCATGAGTGGCTTCACAGCCTCACTCCAAGCCCTTGACCTCTAGACGACTTAAGACACTTTTGTTCCAATAAGACCTGGCCTGACCCCCTTGTCTGTTGTTGCTCCGCCTGCAACAGGCGCCCTCGCTTTGACAAGGAGCTGGCTTAAAACAACTTAGGAAGCGCCGAACCAGGGAAAAGTTGTACTTAAAAGCAACTGTGTCGCCCACCGGGCAACGCGTTTCCCAGAAGCCTGTCTTCTCCCGCAGCTGTCACTCAGGAACGAGGGGGCGCGGCCTTGTGAACTGCCCAATCAGGGGCGTGGCTGGGGCCGGCGGGTGGGGCAACGCACCCGGAAGTAGTGGACATCCCTAGTAGCCTGAGCTGTGCGCTGGGGCTCCAGAGCTCGCCGCCGGGTACCTGGTGGTGGCGCGGCAGCCTGCGTTCCCTGCGACCGGCGCTGATGGTGGCAGTGGTAGGCAAGACTCCGGGGGGACCCGGGGAACCTAGAAATGGTGAGTGTGCGGGCCGCGTTCAGAGACGCGAGGAGAGGCTTGTTGGAACCGGCGGGTTCGGGACCGGGCGTTCCCGCTTCAGCTTCGGAGTCTGCGGCTCCCAGTCCCCGGGGGGCGTGGCTCAGCGTGGGTGCCGCGGCAGCTGCCGGTACCCCGGGCGACCTGCTCCGGCACTGCCACGCTGCCTGCCGTCCCCGAATGTGCCTGGGCAGCTCTGCCCGCCGCACCGTTTCTCCCCAGATGGTGCGGTGACCATGGGAGTTCATCAGGGGACAGTCGTGACTCGGTCTGCAGGGTTTGTGCGTGGGAGCAGCTGTGGTCTGTGGCGTCCCCAGTCCTCCCTCTTTCCCCAGGGGTCCCATTTTCTCCTGAGTTTTCCAAATGTGTGGGAAGCGGCGTGTCAGATCCACGACTCTGTGCCCCTACCCTGTCTCTTCCTGTGACTGTCAACAAGTCCCTAAATTTCCAGTTCGCTCATCGAATGCCGAAGCCAACTTTCTCTCTTCCAGTCACAGCATCATTATCAATCCTCCGGGATGCATTTCAAACAGACCCCCATATTTTAATTGTTTATTCTTTTTCCACAGAGTCGTGGCTGGCGCTTTTTTAGAGATTTATATTTTTTGTGGCTATTTTATAAGAGTGAAAAGGCAAAAATAACCACCAGGAACTCCGTTCCATGAAACGCCGGGCCTCCCCCGCCCCCCAGGATCTTTCCATGGTTCAAACATCCTAGGGGAATTCCTTTGGATGGAGTTTCCTGTTTGGAAATTTTCCTAGGTGAGCTCTCCTGTCAGCAAGGACCCTCCCTGGATTTCTCACCTTGAAAAGATTTTAATGACTTAGGTGTTCGTTTTTCAATAGGAGTATAGTATAGAGCTTGAAAGACTATAAAATAGTTCCAAACATACAGAAAACAGGTGAATTTTATAAAAAATAAAATACTCTGATTACATTTTATTTTTGTATCAGTTACTCTTCTGCTGAGCAGTAAATGTGTGAGGTCTGGTTTTTACTTTGGGGAGTTTTCAAATCAAATTGCAGGGTTTTGACTTGCAGAGCAGATGTGTTCAAGTATGATTAATTAATTACAAACCACTTTCTTTTTCTAGAAATATAATTAACTGACATCTTTTTTTGAAAGGAATAAATATTTGTTTGTTTGTTTTTTAGTTGAACTAGGAAAAGACCCTTACAATTTTCTTTTTTCCTTTCCATATAAATGCCATATTTAAGTGATTTTGCTGGATTGTTCAAACTCTGGGTTTGTGTCATTTAACTATCAATAGTGGTCGAAAGCAACTCCAGTGGAGAGCAGAAGCCTATGGTTAGTGCCCTGAGGTAAAGCTCCCTTGAACCTGCAAAAGGAAGTACTTGAAGGCCCAGTTGTTCCTGGGGAGCCTCCCCTTGTAGGTGCCCTACTTGCTCACACCCACCATTTAAGGAACCTTTACACTGAGAGAAGCTATGGCCCTGGAAAGCTGGGGATGCATGTGTGCGTGGAGTTGGGAGTGGGGATAACCTTTCTGAAGTGTGATTGTGGTCTCTAAGGCCAGGACATCTTTAGATTTTAGTATGAGCTTTCCATTCACAGTGCAGTTGACCTCAGAGTCTAATTTATGCATATTGAGGAAGTCTATGTAGATCAGGGGTTCCAACTTATAGACAGAGGGTTTATGAATTGGGGATTCATTTGGTCAGAACTTAAACTGAATCTGGCTGAGAGTTTCCTCACTGTGAGAATGGAAGCCTGGGGGAGGGGGCGCTTCCGGGCTTACAGGAGAAGGGAGGGTGTGTGGAGGGCCCAGAGTTCAATTCTGGGTCTGCTCAGGTGTCCCTCTCATTCATCCTCCGGCCTGACCCCCTCCAAGGCTTCTGCCTCAGTCAGAGGTGTCTAGACCCTACGTTAGCGATTATGTTCGCCTTACTGAATGAGAGTTTCCTTCTGAATGGTCTTGATTTCAATATTTGTTTTTTGTTGTATTTCTTTGTCCAATGAATATTGCAGCCTTTTGATTCTCATTTCCATTAGCACTTGGGCTTTTAATATTTAAGTTGATTGAAAGATACCATGTGCGTTAGGCAAGATCATTGTGGAACCAAATAGAACTTTGGTTCCATTCAGGCCAGAGAACCTGAAGATGTCAGATGAATGCTTTTAAGTTCTCAGGTGCTTTTTCCAATTTCAGGTCAGTTTTGTATGTGTCTCACCCTAAAGTACTTTGACATGTAAAAGGCTATACTATTCCTGAGGTAATTGAACTGCTGTTTTAATGGATGTGAGGGGGGGGAAAAATTGAATTTAAATTTTCATAGCTTGAGAAAACACATCAAAGCTTGTGTAAGCCTATGTAAATGCTTGAAATTTGTAGTACATTTCAGGGCTTTATTGCAAACCCCTAATGTATTATATCTGACACATTTCTTCATATATCCTTATTGTGAAATACAGCATAGAGAAAACTGTCATAGTGCCTTTTGTCCTTTTAGTTAGAAAGGGATTTATAAATTTTTATGATCTGCATTTTTATATCATTTAGTGTTTAAATCTTTGAGTGGTTTCTTACATTGAAAAGATTGAGTTAAAATTTAAAAGCAATATTTTATTAATACTAATGATTAATCATAGGTAAATGTGGTATGTATAAATTTCTCTATTTAAAATAAATGATGCATAGGAAGGTAAAAATTTTTTAAGCTTACATCAACAGATAGTTGTTGGTGCCAATTCGATGCCAACAGGTATTCCCAATTTGGGGTGTGGTGAAGAAGGAAACTTTATTCAGTACAACATCTCAGTTGTGATACAGCACAATTATGAAAACAGCACGGCTGTGGAACAGCTCAGTTGTGATACAGCATGGCTGTGAGTTGCTAGTCTTCATTCCTTAATTGGTTTGTTTCTAGTTATCTAGTCTAGATGTTTATCAATTTTACTAATCTCATCAAAGAAGCAGCTTTAAAATTTTTTTTTTTCTCCATTGATTTTTCCATATATTCTTTTATTCTGCTTACATTGGGTTTAGTCATTTTTTTAATTGTATCCTGAGGTATGTGCTTACATTATTGGTTGTAGATCTTTCTTTTTTAAATATATTTATTCAGTGGCCTAAATTTCACTTTAGACACCACTTTTTATGTATCTCATAAAATTGTATAGGTTGTGTTTTTATTTTATTTGGGCTGATGTGGCTGAGTTGGTTGGAGCATCATCCGTACACCAAAAGGCGGCAGGTTTGATTCCCAGTCAGGGCACATACCCAGGTTGCGGGTTCAATCGTAGGTTGGGGCATGTGCCAGAGGCAACCAATCAGTGCTTCTCTCTTTCTCTCTCTGCCCTTTTTCCTCTTTCCCTCCCTCCCTTCCTTTCTCTAAAATCGGTTTTTAAAAATTTAATTAAATTTAAAAATAAAAAATAATTTTTAATTTTCTTGACTTCTTTTTTGGTCTTGTTTATTATTTAGAAGTGTGTTGTTGAATCTCCATATATTTGGGGGTTTTCTGACTATTTTACTGATACAGATTTCTAGACTAATTCCTGTGAGGTATAAGAGCATATTTTGTATGATTTTGTTCTTTCAAATTTTTAAGGTATACTCTATGTCTCAGGATGTGTTCTGTCTTGGTGAATGTGTATTCTGCTCTTGTTGCATGAAGTATTCCATAAATTACAACTAAATCCAGTTGTTTCATAGTGCTGTTCAGTTCCACCCTGTCCTTTCTGATTTTCTCCCTACTGGAATTTATAATTAATGAAAAGGGTTGTTGAATGCTCCAGCCACAGTAGTAAACTCATGTGTTTCTCCCGCATCTATCAGCTCTTGTCTTGTGTAGTTTGACCTGTGTTGTTATGCACACATACCTAAAAGATTTCTGTGCCTTCTTGGAGACATTATGTAATGTCCCTCTTTATCTCTGGGTTTTCCTTGGTTTGAAATCTTTATTATTTATAATTCATATGTCTGTCCTTTGATTTCTGTTGGCATCATACATTTTCTCTATCCCTTTACCTTTCATCCATCTGTGTCTTCATATTTAAACTGTGTTTCTTATAGAGAACATGAAAATGTGGTTTTTTAAAATCTGATATTTCTCTATTGTTCAATTGTATTGAGACAATTGATGATTAAAAGTAGTTATTGATGCATTTGGGTTAATATTTACCAAACCTTTTACTGTTTTCTATTTGTTGCTTTTGTTCTTTGTTACTTTTTGTTTTCAACATTTTTCTACCTTCTTTGGCTTTGGTTGAGGATTTTATCTAATTGTTTTTTTCTCCTCTCTCAGCATATCAGTCACACATTTAACAAAAAAGGAACTCTGTCAGTGATGTCATTTCAGTTTTGATTACACATTTACAACTAACCCATATCCTCTGTCGAATCACGCTGTACCACTTCATTGCTGTGCAAGTACCACCTACCACACTATTCCCAGTTCTCCCATCACTGTCCCTTGTCACATTGTTGTAATTTATTTCCATTACCCATAAACTTATAATACCAAACACATTATTGCTAATATTCTTTAAACAAAGTGTCATGTGTTATATAACAAATACAAAAATTTTTTATCTTCATTTCTTCCTTTTCTAACCTTCCACCTTCATCATTTATTTTTTCTGATGAATTTTTGGACATTTAATTTAAAGTAGCTATACAAATTCCCTTAATTTTTGTCTTAGAAAGTCCTTATTTCTTTTTTATGAAGGATCATTTTCTTTGATACAAAATTCTACATAGTATTTTTTTTTATTTCAAAATGTTCAGTATTTTACTACAATCTGATCTTTCTTGCACAGTTTCTGTAAACAAGTTGATTTTAATTTATCTTTGTTTTTCTATACCTAAGGTTTGTTTTACCTTCTGGCCTCTTTCAATATGTTCTCTTTGTCTTTGATGTTTGTCTAATTTGAATATGATATACGTGGGCATGCATTTTTGGTGTGTTTCACGTTCAGTGTTTTAGAGCTTTCTGGATCTACAGTGTGTCATCTGTCATTAATTTTAGAAGTGTTTGGTAATTATTACTTCACTTTTCTCTCCTGTTTTTTTCTCTTTCCTTTTTTGAGGTATTTTAATCCTTACGTTAAGGACAGTTGTTTTAGTTTTCATGTATATTGTGTTCTGTCATTTTTGTTCTCTACTGTCTTTGCATTAGACTCCAGTGAAATGGATTTTTTTTTCAGTTTAGGCCTTGTTAAGAACAGAATGTTTGGGGCGTTTCTCAAGATACCATTTGTTCTCTTTCCTAACTTTGGAGATACCATTTCCCCTGTGACCTCAAAACTTGGGAGGGATCTAAGAAGAGTAGTTTATGTCACGTGTTTTTTCTTTTTGATGAGATCAAGAATGGCAGCTCTGCCTCTAGAGTGACTTGTCAGGAAAATTTTCCTCCTGAAATTGGTGAATGCAAATTTTGTGTTCTTTTAGAAGGAAGTACTGTTGAATCTTTTGTGTTCTGTAATCATGGCCAAAGTCACCATCAGACCACATGGACTTCAATGAACTCCCTTGAATCTGCAGCTCTTAACCTGTTCTTCTAGGGTAGTGAGGCCCAGGGTACCCTGTTAGGGTTTTACTGGAAAGAGCTTGCCTGGCCTATTCTCTTACTGTGTGTTCTAAAATTTGGCAGGAAATAGCCCTGAACACATGTGTACAGGGATTTCTGGAGTAACTTGTTATGCCTGCTTTCTTGTGTCTGAGCTTTAAGTTCCAAATGACTCTCCAGCCCCATTAAATTGAACAGAGAGAGAAAGAAGAACTGAGTCTGTGATAAATACCACACAAGTTACAAGCAGTGCTTCTCCACAAGTACGTTCACACTGAGCCAGCTGCACCTCATGACTGGTGAAGACCTGGAGGACTTTAGGATGACATGGACAGCTGGCTTTGTTGGAAGTATTTTCACAAGCCTCCTGGATTCACATGTTTGGTGATGGGAACAGAAGGAAAAGTTTTCAGTTTTTCACTGTTTTATTTATTAAAACTTCATGCAGATTTAACCTTCTGGCTTGTGGATTGTTGTAAATGGTGGGAAATAATGAAACAGATGAAATAATTATTTTTGCAAGGAATCAGTGGTCTTAAAATGACAATATATATTTCATCTGTATGGCATTCCTGTTATTTCCCAACATGGTCCAGGATGATGTTACAGAGAAATAAGATGTATTGTAATCACAGTAACAATGTGTAAGTAATTTCCAGGTGTTCAAGGTGGTGTGGACAGAGAATAAGTTTCAGATGATCAAGTCATAAGAATAAATGTTTGAAGACAAGAGAATCATATGTAACCTTCCTATAAATGGAGTCTGGGTGCCCAGTGCTATCAGTTTCACACATCCTACTCTACATATATTTGGGGTGTTTTAGGACTCAGTGGCCTTTGAGGATGTGGTTGTGAACTTCAGTCTGGAGGAGTGGGCTTTACTGGGTCCTTCACAGAAGAAACTCTACAGAGATGTGATGAGGGAAACCATCAGGAATCTGGCCTCCATAGGTAAGGATGACAAAATTCCTTCATTTGTCAATTAGAGAACAAGTGTTTCTTGCTCACCAATATTGTTCTAAGATCTGTAATGTGGAGAGGGAGGATGGTGGTAAATAATCTAGGCATGATCATAGCTGCTCATGGATTTATAATTTAATAATTTTTTAAATTTTAATCCTTTGGAAACATTTTTTGAATCTGCATTTTAGGTAAAAGATGGGAAGAACATGACATTGAAAATCAGTGCAAAAGCCAGAGGAGAAAATTAAGGTGAGTCATACAATAGAAAGCGGTGTCTTATGTGAGAATTCTAATGTGTTGTGAAATTTTAAAAATAGCAAACAAAACAAATAAACCCTTCTTCAAATGTATTTCCTCTTAGAAAAAATTTTAAAAACACCTGTTTCAGTGTAACATACATGTTCATTGTTTTCAAAATACTTCACTTAAAAACAGTATTAATAAACCCTATATATGAATAGCACAGTTTGATAATTGCAAGGGTGAAGTTTTTTTGGAGAGTATTGCGTATATTTGTTTTCAGACAAGACAGAATATTTATACTTTACCTATAAATCATAATAAACATTGTGAGTATAATATATCGTTAATAAAGAAATCGTTAATGTGCTGCTCATTTTTTACAGAAATCTGATGGTAGAGAAATTCTGTGAAAGTAAAGGGGTTAGTCAATATGGAGAAAACGTCAACCTTATTTCAAATCTCAATCTGAACAAAAAAGCCACCAGAGTGAAACAACATGAATGCAGAGCATGTGGAAAAGTCTTTGTATTTCGTTCATCGCTTAGTAGGCACTACAGATGTCACACTGGACACAAAGCATATGAATTTCAAAAAGATGGAGAGAAGCCATATAAGTGTAAAGAATGTGATAAAGCCTTTAATAATCTAAACTGGTTGGAAAAACATGAAAGAACCCACAATGGAGGGAATCCCTGTGAATGTAAAATATGTGGTAAAGTCTTCAAGTCTTCCAGAAATGTTAAAATACATAGAATAACTCACACTGGAGAGAAACCTTATGAATGTAAAGTATGTAGTACAGCATTTAGGTATCTCAGTGACCTTCGAAGACATGGAAGAACTCACACTGGAGAGAGACCGTATGAATGTAAAATATGTGCTAAAGCCTACAGAGACCACTGGTCTTTTCAAATACACGAAAGAGTTCACACTGGAGAGAAGCCCTATGAATGTAAGAAATGTGGTAAAGCCTACATATCTTACAGGTCCTTAAACAGACACAAAAGTGCTCATACTACAGAGAAATCCCATAAATGTAAAATATGTAGTACAGCATTTAGGTATCTCAGTGATCTTCAAAGACATGAAAGAACTCACACTGGAGAGAAACCCTATAAATGTAAAATATGTAGCAAAGCATTCACTTATTCCAATTCACTTCCAAAACATAAAAAAGTACATACTGGAGAGAAACCCTATGAATGTAAACAATGTGATAAAGCCTACAAACATCACCGTTCCTTAAAAACCCATGAAAGAACTCATACTGGAGAGAAACCCTATGAATGTAAACAATGCAGTAAAGTCTTTAGAGATCACCGTTCCTTAAAAACCCATGAAATAATTCACACTACAGAGAAGTCTCATAAATGTAAAATATGTAGTAAAGCATTTAGGTATCTTAGTGATCTTCGAAGACATGAAACAACTCACACTGGAAAGAAACCCTTTGAATGTAAAGAGTGTGGGATAGCCTACAGATATCACAGTTTCTTATCAAGATGCAAAAGGACTCACACTGGAGAGAAACCCTGTGAATGTAAACAATGTGGGAAAGTCTACAAAGATCCCAGTTCCTTACAAAGACATGAAAGAGCTCATACTGGAGAGAAACTCTGCAAATATAAGAAAGGTGGAAAGCCTTTATTGAGATCACACAGTCTTCTGAAGACACATGACAATACACACTGAAGAAAAATTATAGAAATATGCAGAATCTGGGAAAGGCTTCAGTTATATTAGGTTCTATGAAAAGCATGAAAGGGCTCACTAGATTAATATTCTTGAATTTATACAGTATGGGAAAGACGTGAATTGGTCCATATTCTTACATGTAAAAACTCCCACAAAGGAATAAACATGTTAATGTGAGAAAGCTTGGTAAAAATTAATTTATGTACAATGTGTCAGAAAAGTTTCAACATGAGTTATAATTAATGGTGTAAAAATATTGTGTTTCTTGAACCTCTCTTTATAGTGCATCATTGGACTGTGGATTTCTAATTACTTTCAGAAATATATCACATGAGATAATGAGTTTTCTTTAAACAATAGTACATAAGATTGAACAATAATAGTACTTTAAAAAATTTTTAAATTTAAACCTTTAAATAAAAAATATTTTTAGGAGACTTGTGGTAGTAAACACACGATACAATATATAGATGATGTATTGTAGAATTGTATATCTGAGACCTGTATAATTTTATTAACCAGTGTCATCCCAATAAATTCAATTTAAAAAAAGCTGTGGTACATTTACACCATGGAATATTACTCAGTCATAAAAAAGAAGGAATCTTACCTTTTGCTACAGCATGGATGGACCTGGAGAGTATTATGCTAAGTGAAATAAGCCAGTCAGAGGAAGACAAGTATCATATGATTTCGCTTATATGTGAAATCTAATGAACAATATAAACTAACTAACAAGTGGAGACAGATTCATGGATACAGAGAACAGACTTCTCAGGTCGCCAGCCCTGTGAATAAAGCACCCATTAAGATTCGATCCTTGTCTCTACTTGCTGGTTGTGGTAGTGACAGATAGCACAAATGCTGACTTTTCTGGTTTCAAACTTGTGTTAAATAACTATTGGCAAAGGTAGTCTCAGTATCTGAGCACTATTTCCCCAAACACAATGCCAAAGAGTTTTGCAATCCAATCTCTCAGGCATTTTAGAGTTTCCAGATTAATTAACACATCCATCACCTCACATACTTACTTTGTGGTGTGTGTGTGGTGATAGTTTAATTCACTGTTTTAGCAAAATTTCAGGGGTACAATTTAGTGTACATATATCAAACCATCATGTCATCTTTATAGACAATTTTATTAGTCAATTATACCTCAATAAAGCTGTGGTTAGACTGAGAAGAGTCCTTGAGCCTAGGCTAGGGCTGTGGGGTTCCAAATTCTCACCGGAGTCAAGCCGCTCTGGGATTCTTAAGGACAGAATGAGTGGGGTGGGGAAGGGATGGATGGAAGGCTTAAGGGTTGCAAGGATCAAGATTAAAACAGGGCCAGATGCCTTTAAGTAGCTCCTAATCAAGGGTCAGAGTTCCATGAGTGGCCTCCCAGCCTTATGTCAAGCCTTTGACTCCTACAGGGCATCAGACCCTGTTGTTCCAGTGTGGTCTGGCCTGGGCCACCCTCAAGTTCTGTACTTGTTACATTTTGAAAACGAACAAAGAATTCTCTCTCTGTGCACGCCTGGGCTCCCTAGTTAACAAAGAGCTGTGCAAAACCAATAACAAATAGTTCTGTTTAAATGCAAGTAAATATGCGAGGCTGGGTCGGTCAGATTCCTGCCCTCCAGAGGAGGCTGGTTCCTCTGATCCATGACGACTCTCACCGGGGTGTCCCTCGGGCACAAGGAGGTTGGTCTTGTGAACTGTCCAATCAGGGGCGCTGCAAAGCCCTCCCTTCTCACGCAGACCTTTGAGATCCGAGTCCTGTGCCCCTAACGGTCTCCGGGGGCTCCGCGCAGCCTTTGTCACCCTGTGATATGCGCTGGTAGGCAGGACTCGGAGACCCAGGAAACCCAGAAATGGTGAGTGTGCGGGCGGGTGCGGAGGCCCGATGGGCTAGTTGGAATCCGCTGGAACAAGAAGTGGCGGGGACTGCCCCTCCGCGGTCACCTCTGGAGTCTGTGGTTCTGAGGCCACTTGGGGGCTCCGCTGGGACCTCGGTCCCCTCCTGTCCCTGCGTGTGGCAGCTGGGCCCAGGCCTTTCTGGGCACCTCCCCAGATTATGGGGTGACCACAGAGAGGGTCGTCGGAGGACACCTGTGACCCTCGTGGGGTGGGCGCTGTGAGGGGTCGTGGGGGGGAGGGGCCGTGGTCCCGGATTCCCCAGTCCCTGCCCGGCACAGTCCCGGATCCAGACCTTTCCAGTGTCAAGTGCCTTTCAGGTCCCCGACTCACCCAGGAAAGATTTCAAGGATGAATCCCAGTGAAAACGAAGCAGGCTTTATTCAGGCAGAGAAAAAGAAAGCGGCCAGGGCGTGGGCACCGCTGTGAAAGCACCAAAAAGTACAAGTTGGAGGGGACGCAGGCCAACTGCAGAGTGAGTTTGCGCAGCGGCCAGGTGGTCCTGGGATTTTTATGTTTCCTGGGGTGCGGGGAGGGAGTCGTCTCCAAGCTTTGGGGCCTAAATTCCGACTCCGCCTTCTGGTTGGGAGGGACCTTGTTCCTAACGGGGTGGCGTTTGCCCCCTGGGCTCCCCTTCTATTCGTGGTGTCAGCTTTCATTATGATGATGGTGTGATGAGCTTTGGGGTCGGTTTCTCATCGATGTTTCCTCAGCCTCGGAATGCTCTGGGTCTAGCCAGTGCTGCTTGTTGACCTGCACAACCGCCACAGGGCTTTTCCTGCCCAAAACTGTTTTCTGTTTGATCATGCCCGGAGGTGGGGGCTCCTACTTCTCAGTCCACTTGTGGAAGATTTTCCCCAACTTCTTTCTGCCCCGCTTTACCTCCTACTCCCCCAGGGGGCACCAGTTTGCTCCCAAGTTTTCCAAACGTTAGGGAAGCGGGGTATCAAATCCAGGAACCTGTCCCCCACCCTTGAGGGAGGGAGCACTTCCATGCTTACAGGAGAGGGGAGGGTGTGCGGAGCTCCCGGAATTTATTTTTAAGCCTGATCGGGTGTCCCTTTCCTACTTCCCTAGGGACTGTCCCAATCCAGTGGTTCTATCTCAACCGGGGGTTATGTTTTAACTTTCTGAATGTGTGTTTCTTTGTGAACTACAGGGAAGCAGGTTATGTATCTTTTCTATTCTGATATGTGTATTTCTTTTCTTGGATTTCTTTCTCTGTTGAATATTGCAGCCCTTTGATTCTAGTGTCCGTTAGCACCTGGGCGTTTAATATGTAAACTGATTGAGAGATATGCTATAAGCCAAAAAAAAAAATTGTGGAACTAAATAGTATTTTTTTTATTAGGCAAGAAAGCCTCAAGATGTGAGGTGGGTCAATTTCAGTACTCAGGTGCTTTTTCCATTTTTAGGTCATGATTGATTGTGCCTGTCCCTAGAGTACTTTGACATTTAAAAGGCTACACTAGTCCTAATTTATTTTAATGACCTTGAGGGGAAATAAACTGAATTTGTATTTTTATTGATATGCAGGAAACTTCTCAAAGCTTATGTAAATCTTTGTAATTCTCAGTCCTTTTCAATTGCAAAATCCTAGTGCTTCCCCCCCCCCCC